CCTAAGCTTGAATGATATTATCAGGGCAGTGAATAATAGAACGAACAAGCAGTGCATGCCAGAACGAACAGTTAAGCTGATCAAGTGCGAAGATGAGAAATAGATGGACAGAGCAGATTATTTGGTAGCACACAAGCAATTTTAAAAGAACACATGAAGGGCTGCCAGTGGATAAGAAAATCCGTAAGAACACCTATTTTAAGGTAACAGGATGAAAGGCGCAAACAGACAAAGGAGACTACGAATTGTAGCAAGAAACACAACGACGAAGCAACAACTGATTAAAGTACCGAAGCGAATTGAGAGGTGAAACGGAGGTGGATGAATAGCTCGTAGATAAATCTTGTTGTATTGCAGCTCGTCGATTCATGCAGCCCGACATCTGCCACAACGTCATTTGCACGAATAGCTAGAAATTTTGGCTATATCAGCACTGCTATTATCGTTGTAATTCTGAATGCTTTCACCTTCTTCCTGATTCGCAAAAAAGGAATAAAGCGAAAATCCTGTACGATTTAATAGCAGTAAATAGTTTTTATACATTTAAAGGAGACATGTATTCGTCTTATGCATGTGCAGCTATCTGTCAAGCTGTAGCACTAACGCTAGAACCACAAAAATTGTTTTTTTGCAAGCGCGGAGTTGAGCAATGTTCGAATCCAGAAACGTACCGTCAAATCTCACGTTGTTTCGAATTCTAACTCATGCGCACGCAGAACCGTGTGTCTATGTTAATTCCCATTTGGTTAAAAAACAGTGAAAGGAAATTATGCATAAAGAACGTGGGGGGCAAATTTTTGTCCTCGGTTTATGCAATAAAACAATTTCAACCGCCCCAGTTTTCCTAGCTGCTGAGCTGAAAGTGAGTAACAAAGTTCAGTCACCTCCGAACAGATACACAGATATACATACATACATACACATATACATACATACACAAATGCAAGTATGCACACATAGATGCATACGTACACACATGCATATATATATATATATATATATATATATATATATACCGACAACCTCTTGGCAATACGCGTTTTTGCATTTGCATAAATATGCGAAAAAGTATATTGACGACAGACTGTGCGGGTGTGCGCATGTTAAGATTTTTCACTCACCCTTTTTTTTCGAAACTATAAAGTCTACTTAAAAGTCTGTCAAGCTCAAATATATATAGATTAATCGTTTGGTGCGCTCTGTTTCAAAACGAATCAGTTGCAGCTGGGAAAAGTGCTTCGTACATGGATCGTCAAGTGCGTGTCACTAACACAATGCTTATAATCACGATTTCTCACTGTGGCACTGCAGCTGTTGCGGCTTTTTTATTACTTCCACCCAACATTTTTTCAATTTCAGCAGAAACGACTGTTAGTTTTTAGTTCGAAATTGATTTTTCTAGTAAACTTAACCCAAACATTAGAAATGAAAACGCAAACTCCAATAAAACACTCAAATCTGCCCTATGTGCTGACAATAACTTCGAAAATTTAATCTCAGACGAAATGTATTGAGATTTGCCTCGTACAGAACAGCAGCAAAATTCAGACTGAAAATGAAATATTTAGGTCACACACTGGCACAGAATAACTTTGCCTGTTTGGCGAAATTGCTTTTCGTTACATATCCAAAATTGCGCGATGCAGACGCACGCTGACGCCCATTTTACGCCTACGTTCCCCCGAACGGAAAACTTATATCGCGCAAAGTTAAAGCGCTCCAGTCAACTTAGCTCCCGAATTGTCATTTGCCAGAGATTATGAAATTTCAACTTTGACATATCCGCAGACGGATGTAGGGTGCCTTAAAGCTGGTTTTGAAACCTTAAGCTCATTGAAGGACACAGAATATCCGTATAAAATTTCAGCTTCCTAACTTGTCTGATTCGAAAAATCTCTTTTCCGCCAAACAGCTTCTGCGAATTCTTTTAGGCTTTCACGCTTGAGACCTCAGAAGCAAGGGTAGCGTGCAACGTGGGCGCGTACTTCAAAAGTTTTAAGCTTCTTATCTGTTCTTGTTGCTAGTTGGAAACTTGTTGATCAAATGCTTGTGCACGGACAGACAGGCAGACAGGCAAACACACACACACACACACACACAAACACACACATACACACAAAACCTTTCGCCAGTATGACTTGTTGCATTTGCGTAAAAATTTAATTTCAAACGAAATTATGAAATTATCGCTTTATGACTTCAAAATCCCAAGTTCAGACCTGAAATTCACCTTATTTGTTGAGCATGAATTAAATATAACCCAGGCAGGAAAGCACTAAGCTTGCCGGTGTGGTCATGCGTTTTTGCAGCAAACTCGAAGTAATTACGTTAACTGCATGAATATTAACAGCCTCACACCTACCTTGTGCGCTCACTGTCGTAAATCATCGTAAATTTTGCATAAACGGAAACAAACAATTTCCTTTAGCGGTCATTTTTATGCGCTTTTGCATATATGCAAATTGCAACCCAGGCTGGAACGCACCAGGCTCTCCTGTGCGATCATGCGTTTTTGCACTAAACTCGCTGATCGCTATTAGCAGGAATGATCCCCACGCTGTAGCCTAACACTTGGGTCATATTGGCGTGCTTTGATCCTTTTCGGGATGCAGGAGGAAGGGGGTCAGTTGGGATGACGATGGTGCATTGTAGAGCAGCAGAGACTTTCCAGGTACATGATTACCAGTTTTTTGCATGAAGCGCCGTCGTTTTTTCGGTAAATGCTCACTTTATGAAAAAATGAAAAATGCAAATTTCCAGTTCATTAAAAATTGGAAATTTTGCTCGAACGGTCGTTTTTCAAAAAAACCACGTTCATTTGCATATACGATTGCTGCTCAGACCCGAGTTGCGGACGATTTTTGGGTTGAGGAGCTGCTTGAGGTTGTGGTTGGGGAGCTCCACAGCTGAATTTAAAATCTTTAGCTCGCACGTGCATAGAGAATATCCCTGCAAAGTTTTAGCTTTC